TATTGCCAGGCGAGGGATGGGGACGCGAGACGCGGGAGCGGCGACGTAAACAACTCGCCGGCAACTGTGCGCTGTCCCCCCCTCTCCCCCTCGCCAGGCAATATCGATCGCCGGGCGGTCACATCTCGCTACGCTCTCGAATTGGACAGTGGGCAGGGCAAAGACGACGATTTTCGATAATTTTTTTCTCGTTAACTATTGCGAAAATTGCAAAATGTTTCAGGACTTTTCTGTTCATCTCGATCCGTTCTACCTTCTCACGAGCTCGTGGACAAATGTTATAACTCACCCTGTATATTACGTATATTATATGCATTTGTATGTACATATTACATACCGCAAAGAATATACAAACTATGGACATATAATGGATATACATTTAATATCAGGCGCTGTATATACATATTGAATCCATTCGTGAATATACATATTATGTACTGCAATGTATATCCAAATTTCGTATATGAGATATATATACATTTCGTATACAGAATATTTTTTTCATATCATGGAGGAAAAATGCACATACATATAGGACATCCGATGTTATATGGGTATGCGTCATATTGGACCCGCCATTTTGAATTTTTCTAATCCTATGTCAGATTCGTAATCAGTGATCTCAAAAACCTTAGTATAATTTCCATTAATTTTTCAAAAAATTTAGAATTTTAGTTAAAAGAATCATCAAAATAAATCATTATGCCAGGTGGTCTCATTATTAAATATTCATAATTCAGGTTGTTGCAGGTTGTTGCAGCTAAAACTTGTCATTACTTTTCTAAAAAAGTACATACTTTTTAATGAAAAAAATTTCATCTTGAACCAGTTTGAACTTTGAAAGATACAGTTCATTAAAACTCAAAAAGTAGTATAAAACTTCTATTTTCAGAAACATTGTTTAATTAACTACATTTCTGGAAATGAAAAAAAGTGTTAAAAATTATTTTTGAATATTTTCAGGTACCTTCTTGAAAATATGCATGATCACTTATACAGAATAAAAAGCAGTAATAATAAAAATAAGATATAAAGTTGTTGTGATTTTCGTACATTTTGAGTAAGAAAATCTACAATTCTCGAATTTAAAATAAGAAAAGAAATATTTCCAAACAATATTATTGTTTTAAAATTAAAACCTAGCTTAGTTAATGTATCTATAAACATATAAAATTATCAGATTGCTTAATTTTTAATCTTCATTTCTCGTAGTTTTGGCCAAGAAAACCACCGAAATAAACCATAGTGCAACGCGAGTTAATCTAGACTGCGTTTAGGGAGACACTATCAGCGCTGAAAGCATCAGTCCATCTTCGTTACTCACTGTATGCCGAACAAAGATAAAAGACGCTTTTAGCGCTAACACCACGCTCTCCGAATCCACCTCTAATCGGTCGGTTAACTTTCAGGGTGCCAACAGCCGAACACATTGAACTATAACCATACTGGAAGGAGCACTGCCTACCCCCTCTATAGGATCGAGCGGTCAGAGAGAGATAGTTGAGTGGCGACCGTGCTATTCTTGTCTAACTAACTACAGCGATCATCGCTGTAGTTATAGTTAGACAAGAATAGCACGGTCGCCACTCAACTATCTCTCTCGCACAACTCTGACCGCACGACAACAATGGAGTGCTCCTTCCAGTATGGTTATAGTTCAAAGGCCGAACCATGAAGAATGTATAAAGGCGGGTCCAGACATGTGTCGTATCACCGTATCGTATCGTGATCGCGTATCATGAACAGCTAAGTGTGGACGGTGCGCCGTATCCGTATCTCGTATCGTATCTGCGTATCAAGATGAAACGCAGATACGATACAAGTATGATCCACTTGGAGTCGGTATTTTACCGAAACATCACAGAAATGATACGTGATACGGATACTGTCAGTGTAGACGCGTTTTCGATTCTGACCACTCCATCTGACAAGGCAGCATCGCTAATCAGTCGCGTTGCTTCGTGTCCAGCGGTTGCTTGATGTCAGAATGGAGTGGTCGCAAGATAAAATAATTGATTTAATAAATATATATAAAGAAAAATCTATTCTTTGGAGTGCAACAAATCCGCATTATTTTAATCGGTTAAAAAAATGATGCATGGGAGGAAATTGCGCGTGACACTGGAAGATCGGTCGAGCATTGCAAAAAGAAGATGGAATATCTTCTTTCTGCTTTAAGGTAGTACTCTCGGTTAGCGAATTACGGTTCAGTTAATTATGAAACTCGATATATTAGTAGATATTTGTCCAAAAATTACTCAGTTAAATTTTTGTTAACTTTCAGAGCGTGAGAGAAGAGTTTTCAGCATTTTCATTTTTACGCGTTTATCACGGAGTCTTATGGGAAATCACGTTGTTGGTACATTCAATTCCGTATTTTACAACAATTACAGTTCAGATTATTATAAAGATTGACAGGAAATAACTTTAAAGCCTGAAGAACATGTTGCGTACTCAAAAATACTGATTCAGAGCGTAGGAATACGCAAATTTATATCAAATCTCGATAATCTCACGGGTAGCCGGCCGATGTGGCAACGTCGCAAAAGAGGTTAGAGTGTGCGCTATCCATAATATAATATTATCTGCATGCTGGACAATTCGTCAGTGTAAATTTTCCAGTCACGAAAAAAGTAATGCTTAATTAAATTAATCATTTATCACATAGATTTTTAAACGTTTGAATTAAAAAAGATTTCTGAAAATATTAATGAAATTAATAATGAAACACATACATAGCAACAATAATAATTATATAATATATTTTATTTTTAAACAGAAAATCTTAAATCATCTTTATCATCTTTTTCAGTCACTCTCTTGCCTTTTCAAAAAAATATTTTAGCACGCTTTTGTTTATCTTCACGATTTGAGGATTCGATCTGCTCCTGCTTTGACTTTGTACACACAATGACACAAGAAGCGTGCGAAGTTCGCTTATACATTGAATGTGCAATCAAATGTTTACGCGATGTTGCCACATCAAAGTACCGAGTGAATCAAACTTATACTTGGCGCGAGACACTACCGTGATACGAGAATACATACGTTTGACTAGCTACGTACCGAGAGAACTCCCTTAAGGCAACGTGAAATGATACGAACTGTACCAGGTGGAAAACTAAAATAAAGATACGGATAAATGATACGGATACGAGCTGAAAACAACACTTTGCCGTATCATTACAATCAGCGTATCCGTATCATGATAAAAGGCGATCACAATACGATACGGTGATACGACACATGTCTGGACCCGCCTTTAGGAGACCGAACTAGGTCTGGATTATAGACATAGTATATATATAGACTGCGCATTGTGGCTGCAGACGTTTGCACACCTGAGAAAGAGACAACATGCTTACGTAGTAGCTCTTTCTCTGTCTATCTATCGTTCCTCTACTCTTTTGTTTACCCCCACTACTTCATTTCGACAAAGATAAAGCTACGGTCCCACACCAGCTATCTCTTTCTAAAGTTGGCGCATGTTTTCACGCGAGTGAAGTAGGGAACGCGCAGTCTATATATACTATGTCTATGGTTCAGTCTCCTTATCCATTCTCCATGGGCCGAACATAAAACTGATACCAAGAAAATAGGTTAATAAAGAAGTTTTATGTTGGTACCCTGAAAGTTAACCGACCGATTAGATTAACTCGCGTTGGTGAAACCGGGCCTAAAAATATAGGATCTCTATTCGAGGGTATGTTTTGCGCCACAAACGCGTAGAAAACGGTGAGGCGTATGGAATGCGAGTAATTTATTTGTCTTCGCTGAATCGATAACTAACCCATAAGCACAGCACAAAAGCTGCAGCAGCATTGCCGCAACGTACGTTGCAAGATTGCATATTGTAAATGCAATGGTGCAACAATATTTCAAACACAATATTGCGTAATATTAAATCTGCAATATTGCAGCTACGCTGCAAATACAATATTCTAAATAACTCTATCGCTAAATAACTTTTTCGCTCTGCGTTCCGTTTTACGCATGAAACACATTCGCATACACGCACGAGCTGCCTCACCTCGAGAGCTGAGGCAATTTATGCGTTCTCTCCCTGTGTATTTATTACATATATGTATATAGGGTGATTGGAAACAACTCTGGGTCCTTAAGAAGACATAATCCTGGCTAGATTCTGAAACGACTTTTTTTTACAAAATTTTATCCGAAATATAGTTTTTGAATTATGAAAGGAAATAGTTATCTTATTATCAGGGTGAATACAGAAGATAAGCTGTGGCGGCGCAACTCACCGTCAGACGTGACAACTGATAACCACCTAACATAAGCGACCACGTATGACGCGATAAATTGCGCCGCTATTACCTACGCCCTGTATTCAACTCGTGATAAGAAAACTATTGCCTTTTATAATTAAAAAACTAGATTTCGGATAAAGTTTTGAAAAAGAAATAATCGTCTCAGAATTTCGTCAGGATTATGTCTTTTCAAGGACCCAGGATTGTTTCCTATCACCCTGTATACATACGTGCAACGTTGTATTGCATTTTATTGCATTATGGCTACATTATTACATTGCAATATTGCTGCAGTCTTGCCTTTTCATATTGCTGCGTAGTTGCATTGCAATATTGCTGCATTGTTGCATTGAAATATTGCTGAAAGCGGACATTCTAATGTTGCTGCAATGTTGCTACAATATTGCAGCAACATTTCGCAATTTTGCTGCAATAATGCAATCTTTCAAAACAATGTCTCTGCAATGTTGCTGCAATATTTCCGTGCTGTATGGGTAATTAGCTCCATTGATAAGTCACCTAATTAATTATCCGAATAAAAACGCTACATTCACGCATTATGCTGAAATGTGCGTGTGCGTCGCGGTTTATGTGTCGCGTCGGAATGATTACATCATGCTGATTTATTTCATTTAATAAAAATGACGTAATGTTGCGAAACATCGAATAAAAGAGTTCGATGAGAAACACAATTTGAAGATAAATACAAGAAAGAGACATGGTCAGGTTCCTGAGAGATAGTTGTTTCTTTATTGGAAAATGATTGCGCTTAAAGGATTTTAATTGCTCTCGAAATTATTGAGAAAATTGGCTTGATATCTAATTTCGCCTGATATAATTTAATCGCGACCATTTATTAAAGAAACAAATTTATGCTTTTATTATTTCCACGTTACGAGTGTACTTAGTTATGTGCAATCTATAAAATGTTAATTTACTACCATAGCATATATTGGAAAAATTAAGAATAAAATTAAGACAGTACCCAAACAGCACCGAGTCGACTATTAGTTGACTGTCAGTCGGCAGCGGAAGTCTAAAGTCGACTTCAAAGTCAAGCTGAATGTCAACTTATAGTCAACTATTAGTCAACAAATGACTCGACTATAGTCGGCCAAAAGTCGACTTAGAAGTCGACTTTATGGCAATGAAAAGTCGACTTTATGATGATTAGAAGTCTACTTTATGGCGATCAGAAGTCTACTTTATGGCAATTAGAAGTCAACTTTTAGTCAATTTTACGTTATTTATATTAAATGTTTAATAGTGACGTCTTGAAAACCTGATTGATTAAAGTTTTTATATTTTAATTGTATAATATTTACAATATATAATACAATTAAGAAATAATACAATTATATTGATCAAGTCTTTGAAAATGCTCCAATTAAACTTAAATAATAATTATAATGAGCATATGTCTTAATAAAAAACAGACAATAAACCAGAGTATATATACATATTATATTATTTAATTATGCTTTTATATTTTTGACAAATTTGACAGGTTTCCTTGATTAATTTGTATTAATCGACACATTAAATCGTATTAATTCGGTAGCCACGCGAAAAATACGACTCGTCTTATGTCCAAATACATACGATTGTCGTCTATCAGGAAGACGCTGATAATTCACAAACAAGCAAGGAGCATGCATGTCGCGATTATCGCGCTACACGCGGAAAGTGAGACGTCGATTCGCCATATATCGGTTCGACATATTGATCAGAAAGATTGGCCAGAAAGACATTTTTTACACATTTTTGCACCTTACCAGAACTCTGAGATTTCGACCAGCGTCTCATAGGTATCTGCTTTAGGGCCACTTTTTCTGGGAATTTAATTATTTTAGAAATTATGCAAGTATGCCAGCGCATAGAACTCTTCCGAAAACATGAGAATACGTTCGAAACTACTCTAGAACTGTTTTAGATTAGCCACGATTCTGAGATTTCGACCAGCGTCTCACGTTCGTCCGTATTAAGATGTATTTCTCAATTGATAAAAATTATTTAAAAATTGAAAAACAACGTTTTTCACCAGAACTCTTGCTAGAACTATTGTAGAACTCTAGGGCGCTTTAAATCTAACATGAAGCCGTCGGGAACTAGGCGGAGGACAAAGTGAGACGCTGGGTGAAGTTGGCGTCTCATTTTGCACTAATCGATTTTTTTGCTTTAAAGGCCAGAACTATGTGTTTAATGTATCAGGAACTCTAGAACTATTATAAAAGAAGCCAGAACTCTCAATAGTTAACGAGTTTCCACGAAATGAGACGCTAGCTTCACATACACGAATTTTATGTAAGTCCTCTTACGCGATCTCGCGTCCGAGAGGAAACAGCGAATGTCGTGTCTTGCGGTGTAACAATTTACTCAAGGTAAATGTGCGCTTTACTTACAGTACGATGCGAATGAAAATGAAAAGATGCTGGCTGACGCGAAAGGGAAATTGTACACCAACTGCAACACCTCGGTGTGGACGAGGAGCTGCGAGAAGGAAGTGATTGAACCCCTACGATCGACCGAAGTCACCGGTACCATCCCCAAATGGCTGAAAGGCACCCTGCTGCGAAACGGTCCGGGCAATCTAAAAGTGGGCAAATATCGATATCAGCATCTCTTCGACAGCTCCGCCTTGCTGCACAGGTACATTTCACGCTAGAAAAAATGAGAGGCCGACAGCTCTTTATTTTCATTGACACAAATAAATTGTGCAGATTCGAAATCACGGACGGTGAGGTCACCTACCAGCGGCGATTCGTCCAGACCGAGGTGTACAAGAGGAACATGGCGGCTCAGAGGATAGTCTACAACGACTTCGGTACGAGCGCGACGCCGGATCCCTGTCAGACTATATTCCACAGGTAAACAGGAGCAAGCGAGGAGAGGACGCGCGACGCAAAGTAGAGATGATCCGGGACTGAAACATACATTTTTCGAACAATTAATGCGAGGAAAATTACACGTTTGACAAACAGATCGCGAGAAATACGTCAACGTAGCAGTTCTTTGACTGCAACATTTTTTACGGATTCTTTTGAAATGATCTTTCAGAGTGGCCACAGTGTTCAAACCGGACAAAACAACGTCGGACAATTCCATGATTTCGGTGTACCCGTTCGGTGACGAATATTATACGTTCGCGGAAACGGCGGTGATGCACAGGATCGACCCGAAAAATTTAGCGACGCTGGACAGGGTAAACGCTCTCGACAAATCCTTTCGCTTTAAATTCAAATAATCAACCCCTAGTATTGGCGGCGTCATCTTAAATTTTTTATGTCATCGCGGCATTCATAACAAATTCTAATTGCACAAATTACAGTACCGGCCTGCAAGGTTACATCACCTTTCGATTTTTGGAGCATAACTGGCTTTAAAGTGTACGAATGAAAAATTTTTAAAAAGTCACGGTGTTTTTTGTCAAATTTCATTACCCTTCGTGTACGAGATGCGCCTGCTATCGGGTGTTATACTGTAAAATTTTGAGCGCATTCGATGCACCTTGACGAAAGTTATGCTCAGAAAACCTAAAGGTGATAGAATTTTCACCAGTACAGTACTTCCTTTGCTCGTGTTTCGCAGATAAATATGACCAAGTACGTTAACATCGTACATCATACTTCGCATCCGCACGTTATGGCCGACGGTACGGTTTATAATGTAGGATTGAGCATCACGCCGATGGGATCTCGTTACAGCGTCGTGTGCTTCTCTCCTAGAAGCGTGGTTGTTGGTAAGATATTCTTTTTTGTAATAATAGAAAGAGAAACTTTTGAAAGAAGAAACTATACACGGAGAAAATGTTCTCTTAAAATTTACCTTGGGAATCATGTGATCGTGGGATTTTGAGCAACATGGCACTTTGAAGAACCTTATAAGAATGATTTTACTTTACTTTACATTTTACTAGTAAAATGTCTGCTAAAGTTAAAAAAACTCTCATAAAGTTGTTGAAAATGCTATGTTGTCCCACGATTACATGATTTTCAGGTTGAACTTTAAGAGAAAATTCTCTCCATGTAGGAAACTATGTAGTAGTGGTCTGAAAATTAATTTCACAATGGAAGAAATAGATTGATGCCCTCGAGTTCTTACAAATTCTAAAATATTGAGCCAATATTTTAGACCATAGTAAAATACTTAAATTATAATTTAAAATATTACAATTTATACCCGTAAAATATTTAAATGGTACACTTTGGTGACTTTGAATGCAATTATTCCAGATAAATCTGGAAAAGAAAAAGAACTCTCCATGTTCGATCAAGCGACGATTGTGGCCAGTGTGCCGAGCAGGTGGAAGTTCAATCCATCATACATGCACACCTTCGGCATCACTGACAATTTCTTCATCATATTGGAACAACCGCTGTCGATCTCCGTTGTTAAGATGGCGACGGGTCGCTTTAAACAAGAACCAATGATCAACTCCGTAAAGTGGAACGACAACGAAAGCGTACGTATTTATCGGATTATTATCCTTGGGAAAATATACCTTAGAGAACCTTAAACTTTTACTTAAGAAAAATCAGAAATATGAAAAGTAAATTTGGACTTTAACGACTTTTATTGAAGGTTAAAACTTTAAGAATTTAGAAGAAGACTTTAAAAATCGTGAAAATTTAAGTAAGTATGTGATATAATTTAAAATACCGCGTGCGGTTTTCTTCTTACGAGAAAGTTCTATGCCGCGCGGCCCTCTAGCGGGAACTTGGACAGGCTTGGCTACCTAAGAATTACTTCAAGTGTCCAAAATTACTCTAAAATTTCTTGAGTAAACTTTTAACTTCTTTAAGTAGACTCTCAGATTTGGAAGATCACGTTTAAAAACTTCCGTTTCATTTAAAGTAAATTTTCCCAAGGGTAGATCCGCTAACCAGGTTAAAAACCCATACAGCACTGCAGATGGTTGCAGTTACATTGCAATCTTGCAGAGACATTGCAGGGATATAAAATTACAAACTTTCGATAGCAATATTGCAGCAATGTTTCAAAAATAATAAAAATACTATATTTTCTATTTTAAAAAATTTTCTAATTACGAGAATTTTATAATGTTATTTTCGTTGATACCAATAATGCGCGAATTAGTAAGTACTTGATCAGTGCGGTGTTGCTCGCAAACTCCATTCTATTGCGAAGCGACATAATCTCCTTAGGTTGCTTCGCAATAGCTTGGTTTGTATTAAAAAAGGCCCGGATGTATATGTAATTAGTAAATTCTCTGCTTATGTACAACAAAAACAAATTATTCCAAAAATATTGCACTGCAATCTCTCTGAGGGCAGACATTTCAACGTTGCTGCAATCCTCCAGAAACGTTGCAGCAATGTTGCGCAACGTTGCTGCAATATTGCAATCTTGCAATGTAACATTTCTGCAATCTTTCTGTGCTGTGTGGGTAGTTATTAATAAATTAAGTCCGACGTTTTCGTTACCAGACTTTCTTCCACGTGGTTTCGAGGAAGACGGGCAAAGTGGTAAGAATGTTCGTCGCGGAGACGTTCTTCTACCTGCACATTATTAATCAGTTCGAGACTCGCGATGGAGACTACATTGTGCTGGACGTGTGCTGTTATCGTAACTCGAAGGTGTTGAAGTGCATGTACATCGACGCGATGAACGTAAGATATTCGCGAGGCGCGCGGCAACAGTGACTTCAGCTAACGGTGATTCTCGATATTTATATTGACGCAGAGTATACACGAAAATCCCGATTTCTCGAGGCTGTTCCGCGCCATGCCGCTTCGCTTCGTACTTCCGTTGAGACAACCAAGCCAGGACACGCAGCCGGAACGTAATCTCATCGCGGTTAAAACTGTGTATCAGAGCACGGTTGTCAACGACGAGCCTGACGATCGTAGACCGGGCTCTGACATCAATGGCGTTGCAGGCGACGAGTATCACGATCAAGCCAAGCGCTCGCGAGACGAACACAAAAGCGCCCTGCGGAAGAAGCCGTCCGCTCACCGACTTCGTGACGGCAGGATTTTCGTGAAGCCGGAGCTCCTCTGCGACGTCGGTTGCGAGATCCCACGGATAAACACGGACTTCCATCTCGGCAAGGAGTACCGATACTTCTACGCGGTCTCCTTCGACATGGACCTAAAGAACCCCGGGACGGTCGGTGCATTTTCGCGAGCTTCTAAAATATAACGCGTGCTCGCTAAGAGGCTGCGGAGCCTGTCACATAATTTCGTGATGCGCTCTGTATAAATAAGACAAAATTTTGTTTACAGCTCATCAAAGTCGACACCGTCCGAAAAACCAAGAAAATGTGGCAAGAAAGTGATGTTTGCCCAAGCGAGCCAATTTTCGTACCGGACCCTAACGGAAAGGTATATCGAGTGCTGTCTATTTACTCGGACAAATAAGAGGGAGGCCAAATTACTTTACTACTTGCTCTTTTTCTGTCTAGAACGAGGACGACGGGGTGATTGTGAGCGCGCTCGTCTGGGCGGAAAACGAGACTCGAGTCGGTCTGTTGGTCTTGGACGCTGTGACATTTACGGAAATCGCGAGGGTGACCTTTGACACACCGGGACCGGTGCCTAAATGCCTGCACGGTTGGTTCAGTCTGGCCAAGTAACCGGATGCGGAAGAGACTGCCAATGGAACGACAGTGTCGTTCAATTGAGCGAAGGGAAGGCTCATTTGAGCCCCTTCGAGATTTCAAAGTCTTAAGAATTTTTAATTACTTTTATCGCTAAGAAACTTTTCCCTCTTTGCACCTTTTATCTCTTTTAAATATAAATACGCATGATCGACAACTAACAGGTGTTCAATCTACCGATACCGAGCCCCGATTATCTTATATATAAATCTTGAATCGTAGATAGTGAAAATTTTAATAAGCGAAAACAGGTGTTGGTGTCTAATCATTTTCTCCATTTTCCTCGCGTTCTTTTTTGTAATTGCGCTGATTGAATTGTATTGTCGAGTACACGAATATATGTATAATAAATTATTTAATGTCTTTCCACGATGCGTAATGTATTTACAATCGGCGGACACCGCCATCGTATACGATAATAAATGTACAATCTAACGAGATGAGAATCGAGTCGAGTGGAATGTAAAATGTATCTTAAATATCGTCAGAAATTTTCGCGGTTCTTTGAATGGCGGAATATCAAAACGACGTTGAAGCCATTCTCTAGAATGCGGCGACAACAATCATAAGAGTTCGATGTAGACAGCATTGTCTCGATTACGTTAAACTGTCGGAACAGTAACTGCGATATACGTAATTCTACGCCTCTAATATCCTAATCATTCATCTGGCGATAAATTGCAAGAAAATACCAATTCTGATACATTCGAAATGCGACCTTTGTTAGGACACGACTCTTGCGACAAATCTTCGGGATTCTTAATGACAAGCGAAAGTCGCATTCGATTTTCAAGTTGGACAATTTCCAAACGTATCTCCACCATAGACTTATACAAATAGACCGCGCGTCCCGTGAGAAAAATTGAAGACTGCATTAAAGTGAGAGGAGAGCAATAGACTGAGTGAGTGTCTTTGTCTAATATGCGCTGTCTTCTTCCCACTCTTAACAAAGAGCGAGAGAGAAGCATCCCTAGTAGCACAATATATTGGCGCTATATTGGTTGAATATTGTGTCAATATATTAGACCAATATTCTTACTACATTGTTAAATACTGGCCAAATGCGCTTCCAATATATAATCTAATATATAATCTAATATTATATAATTATTATCGTACAATATTTACATTTATTCCATGGCCAATATTAACTTTACGTTGAACAATATCGGCCAATGCGTTTCTGTGGTTAGCCAATGTTTAGACGACGCATTGTGCTACTAGAGATCACACGCGCAATATCTCTATCCTTCAGCGTAGTCTTCAGCGCGCCCATAAGGACGCGCGGTCTGTCTACGTAAGTCTACGATCTCTACCCAGCGAGAAATGACTCGTCGATCGAATCGACATCGACAACGTCAACGTGACGTCGAATTCGTTTTGATGAGTCATTTCTCACAGGGCATGGAAACAAACGTAACCCAAACAACACGTGTGTCTAAAAGACATCTTAAAGATGTCTAGACACGCGTGCTGTACGAGGAGCTAGAATTGTTCCTAAGAAAAAGTCCAATGGGCATCCGAGGCACCTTAAGTATCGTACAGAGAATGGAAGAGAATTGTGTCTGCATTTCCTCGCCGGGTTCAATCCTGCCACACGGTGATCTTCTCGCGCACTTAACAATTGACAATAATTAATATAATTACATTAATAAATAATAGTCTGGCACAACCATGGTCAGATATTTACTAGCTAAAGGAGCGTCGGCGTAGGAAACGAGTTATCTCGTACGTGGAATTATCATTAGATCGACTCGTGCACGTTTCATCGTACAGGGTGTGCAGAGTCGCTGCCTTTGGCACTACAAATCACTTCCGCTCCGTCGAGAGACCCGTTCGGTTTAATAAAAAGACTTACCTTGTCGCTTGCGATAGCAACGATCGATAGATTCGTATTTCGTAGACGCGTACTCTCGGCTCGACCAGGATTCGAAAAATTCAGTCTGGTTCCGGTCCAGACCTCGCTCTCGCGCGCGTTCTCGCGTCTTGGGCATGTATGAAAGCATTATCCCAACTAAAATATACGATCGGGGAAGCATACGTTTCTTTCCTCGATATTTACCGACGAAACGAGAGATTTCCGCCCTGTAAAACATCCGCCGAGAAACGAATCTCGACGTGCGAATCCACCTGTCCGGCAGAAAATAGCCCGCACTTACGCGGACACGACCGGCGATCGGCGTCACTTTTAATATCGTACACGACATTACGTTAGAACGGAATAGGAAATTCCGCAACGGAGCTACATTGCTTAATACTAATCTCGCGCACTCGCGTCTTTCCTCGAGACTTTCGTTATTTCGCTCACCTTAGGCTTAAGTACGAGAGAAGTGTTTGAGAGAGTATCGTTACGCGTTACACGCGAACGGCTCCGTCGTTCTCGAATCGCGCGAATGACCGAGAAGGTCGGGAGGGAGGAGAGGAAAATTAGATAAAACACAGCTCTCTCGCATTATTCGGGCCGCGTCGCGCGACAACGGCGACGCGGCTATCACAATATAAGCTTCCGTTCGTCTCGACACGACATGACCCTTTAGATTTTGTTCGCCTTCTCGCAGTCCACGGAGCCTATGGAGTTTATCGCGTTCACGTTCTTGCTGCTCTCCGTGTCCGTCTCGCTTCTCGCCAGGCTCGAGATCGACTCGGCGATGTGCGACTCGGTATGCATTGGCAGGATACCGGCGTTCGCATCCTCGATGGCTTTCCTCAACTGCAAAATAAAGCCCGCTTGAAATCTTGTGAATTCCATCACGTTTTAGAATTTTCATTCCCAGTCGAGGTATCCGCTGGCCGATCTCCCAGCGATCTTGGTTGGAGAACCGTTGTACCGTACCTCTTTCAGCGCGACAACTCCGACCAGCCTGCCGATGGCCGTTACGTAAGCGTGGTTCACGCCGACCATGCTGAAGATACTGTGAACCTTCAGCAAGGACGTTCTCTCGACCAGCTGGAAAGGAGCCGGGTCGATGTGGCACCTCGAGAAATCCACCTCGAGTGCCATCTCGCTCTCCTCCCACCGTTTCTGGTCCTCCGCCGACATGTCTATCACTCTCTCCCGAGGCTGATTAACACGCACGAACGTTATTTGTGCATTGCATTTAGAGGAAACGGCGATGTTTGCTCACCAATTGTACTTTCTTCGATGTCGCCGGACTCGGGGCCAGCATGGGCGTATGGGACTGCGTGTTGATGACATCCTGGCTTCCCCTGGCACCCAGCTCCGGATCGGGATCCACGTCCTGCAACGTGGCCGACTTGCGGAAGATCGCCTCGAACGCCAAACGAATCCTGCGACACGAGCATTTATATTATTAATTGTGTTTCCATATTTCTATTTCATACACTGAAGAAAAATGTTCGCTACCGTAGCTAATCGTGGTTTGCTAAAAGTATTTCGCTGCCACAGCTACAAATTTCTAAAGCACAGAAACCGGTTTGCTGTCGCACCTAATACAATAGGCACAGCAAGAGATTTAATTATCACAACTAAGGTTGCGGTCAAGCTGCCGCTACAAATGCTCCCAAGTATTTCTCTTCTCTTTCTATCTTTGCCGAAAGAAAGGAGAAAAAGAGTGCTTGGAAGCATTTGAAGCGACAACTTGACCGCAACCTAAATATTACATGGAGAGAAGTTTTTTTAATTTCTCCTGAAAACTATGTAATCGTGGGACAACACGGCAGTAATTATACTTAGTATACATTTTTCCAGTAAGGTATAGTAAAATTTCGAAAACCTCTCATAAAATTCTTCGAAATGCCGTGTTGTCCCACGATTACATTATTTTCAGGAGAAATTTTAAGAAAAAAATTCTCTCCGTGCAACTGTCCACATTTTACATTTGCAGTTTTTAGCTACGGTACCTACATGTTTCTTTCCGTGCATATTATTTACTAATTTCATTGATTACAAAATACATTTCGATTTGCGAAACGCTTGAAAAATATGGGAATCCATAAATATCTTTTTATGAAGCGTATTGAGATAAAATTTAAGACGAATGTACGACACATTTTTAATTATATAAAAAACCGTTAATGCCAGAAAGAATAAGAGCCTTGCCTGCTCTCCGCGCCTGTGACCGTCGTGTAGGGCGTCACCGCCGGGCTCACCAGCGGGCTGAATCCCTTGAGAGTGAAAGAATTGGTCTTCTTTAAAATGGACTTTTTCGGTTGCGACCCGAACACCGGCGAATGGTACGTGTGCTGAAACACAGGGGGAATAATACGTTAATCCTCAAATAGCACACGCAGTTCTATGAATATTCTTAATTTCAGAATATTCGAATCGAATATTTTAAAAATGTATATACATTATTACAATTAGAAATCATATATTCATAACGAAGAAGAATGTTTTTAGAATATTCGAGAATGTCTTTGGAATATTCGGTCAGAGTAATTTTTCAATATTCATCGAGTTTATGTATTTATCTTATGCAAAAGGCAGCGAAGGTCTGTGATCGTACCATATATAACCGACACGCTATATTCGATAGATTATTCTATTCGCATTCGAAAAGGATTTATAGTGGCGCCAGTCGAACGTTCCACGAACATAAGATAAGTATATAAGAATGACCTATGGAATATTCCAAATATTCTTCAAGAATATTCTTAAAATGTTCGCAGGAGTGTCCTGTGCTATCCGGTTCGGCACGTCGCGGCGATACGCGAGGGGCGACAGAGAAGAACAGCCACGATTGACGTCAAAGTCAATTCGCGCGGACTCACATGATCGGGACCGCTGCCGTTGTTTGGCGACATCGTTAGATCGTTAACACTCTGCCGCTGCATCTTGAGAATGTCCGGTGCCGGGATGACCTCGAATCTCGAAGGCCTCCTCGTTCTCTCCTGCTCCCGCAGCTGCCGTTCTATTTCTTCGCGCGCCCTCTCCTCCGCCTCCTTATGCCATTTTTGCGCGACCTGGAACGCCGATGTTAACGTAACGTTCGCAGAAACGAAGGCTAAAACCGCGAACGAGCTTGTAGGGTGTTGAAAGTCCCATTACCTGCAACCTTCTCTCGCGGCCGATGTGCTTCTCTATGAGCTTGATTAACGCTAATCTCTGGATCGATCCAAGCAGAATCATGGAGTCCGGATTATCCACCAGCGGGAATCCACGTAGCTTGCGATTGTCCTTCAGTATTTCCTTCAGCTTCTGATAGCTGATGCCGTGCCATATGTACTTTACGTCGCGCACCATGAAATCCTCCACGTAAACATTGTACATTCCTGCGGTAATTAGTTTTTCGTTTTATCATCCCTTTCTCGCGTAAAATCCGCGACGAGGAGCAAAATTGCGAGTGCAAAATTACCTTCCCGTTCATCCCGAACGAAATGCTTTGCAACAATCGTAAGCGCACAATATTAGCTGGGTTAATTGAAAAGAAGATAAGTCGCGTTAAAGAAGTACCTGAACTGGATGGAAGTAGGTCGGGCAAGTAAGGCAATTTCTTGATGAGGATGATGCTGTCGTATATGCTGGGCTGCAGAAGCGCGGCGATGGCGTTGCTGATCAGCACCGCTATCATTATGGGCACGATGTGTGTGATCTGACCGGTCATCTCGAAAATGATGACACTGACGGATATCGTGTGCGTCACCGCGCCGGAGAATGCGGCCGCGCCCACCGTGGCGTATCCACCTGAACGAGGCAATTCCGCGACATGAATCCCATTCTTTTCCCCAATTGCGCGTCTCCTTGTACTCGACTAAATTTGCGTAAGTATAATAGCGACCCACCGATTCCACGGTTCTTATTGTGCCCGACACATCTCAGAAACATCTTCGTCGATTTTCTCGCGACGGGCGATTTTTCGCGACGGGCTATTTTTCTCTCACACAGCATAATATTCTAATACACACTCTCTAAAAGTCCGTCAGTGGACTATCACTGAAAACAGTGAATAGTCGCTGATTTACAGTTGTAAGTATACCACTGCAAGTTTTAGTAGTGTACTTGTAACTGCCAGGGTTGGGAAAATTACTTTATAAAAGTAACTAGTTACAGTTACAGTTTCTTCGCTAACAATGTAACTAATTACAGTTACAAGTTACCAATTCTGAAAAGTAACGCGTTACAGTTACAGTTACTCGAAAAGTAACGAATCGTTACTTTGCAGTTACTCCCCTGCAATAGAAATAAAAATATCGAATCTGCATCTGCATTGTAAAGCGGCGACCCTGGCGGAAAAAATTTCTATGAATAACTACAAAAAATTGACTTGAAATAGAAATTTGTAGAAATTTTTATATCTTCGTTGAAACATTTATTTCTTTGTAAAAATATCTATAAAATAGTATCACAAATTACAATGTTCTCAAATCAAGCAATTATTGCAAGTAGTATTTCATGAAAATGTACAATTTTGTAAAAATTAGTACAAAACTGTACTAGTTTAAAAAATTTGAGAAACAACGAAATCGTAAAGAATTCAAACATCTGCTTACTTGTAGAATATTACAAAAGTTAACAAAAGTGTTCCAATTCTGGCATTTTTATGTTGATTTTTATAACACTTTTTAAATTTACGTAGAATTTCTTAGATTCTGGCAGTTATATTTAATTTTTTTGCAGAATTTTGTAGAATTATTTCCGGCAGGGGATAAAGGCGTTTATGCGCAAATGTAAGGCCTAATGCGATGGAGGAATGCTGTGGAGGTTGAAAATGTATATAAAGTAACTATTAATGTAACTATTAAATTAGTTACTAGTTATCGAAAAAATGTAACTGAGTTAAGTTACAGTTACAGATGTAGAGAAAGTAACGAAGTTAAGTTAGAGTTACCAAAAAGAAGTAACTGTAACTTCGTTACAAGTAACGAGCTACTTCCCAACCCTGGTAACTGCAAATCAGCGACTATCCACCGTTTTCAGTGATAATCCGCTGACTGACTTTTAGAGAGTAGAATAATATGAATCTTCAACAGACAGTACGACACATTCAATTAAAGATACCTGGTATTATGGGTGTAATTATTCCGCCATAGCGTACACCAGTGGGGAACCAGAGAGCCATAGCTTCACCGACCGCTCTACCCAGCGCAGCGCCGATCTTAAATACGGGTATAAAAATTCCAGATGGCACCGGCACCGTCGAACTGATGATGGAAAAGATGAACTGAAACCGAAGTCCGTTTTCTCTACTTCTTATCTTGCGTAATTACATTTGAGAATAATCACCGAATACCGATGCGAAAGGAAATGATCGTCTTACGGTAACTAAAACGAAACTGAGAAGCCCGCTGAAGACATCGGTGTACGACGTCGACCAGTGCTTGACGATATTCATCTCCTCGACGCTGAGATTCTCCTTCGTCCAAGTGAAATTAGTGAAGAGGCCGAAGACCTGATCGTGCGTGTTCAGATCGCCTGCCATGAACTGACCGAGCCCGAGGGGAAACGACACAGACGAGACCATCAAGGACACGATGCCGGGATACAGAAAACGACTGAAATTAACGGCAGTCGTCTCTCGGTCACAGCCTCACGGGAGAAATTGGGCGATTATAAAGAAAAAAAAAAACGATTTCGATACACGACATTTCGCGCGACTTACTTCTTCTGCAGGAAGCTGGTCATGCTCTTGTTCTTCCGCATGAAGATGACGTATTGCCTGTGCAGCCAGACGTAGAAGGCGCCCAGCACTCCGCTGCCGACGCCGATCAGGGCGAAGACGAGGAGCTCCTGCGGATCGAAGGGGAACTCCATGGTGAAGCTGGTGGCGAACATCGCCGTGATGGTCTCCTCGCGCTGGAACCAGATCGCCAGCAGGCGGAACATCGTGGCGCCGCAGACCGCGGCGAAGAAACCGCGCCAATAGTTCCTGACCGCGAAGTACACCGTCGTGACCTCGATGCTGAAGAGGACGCCGCCGATCGGGGCCGCGAAGCAGGAGGCGACGCCGACCGCGCAGGCTGCGGCCAGCATCTCGCAGTTCCTGCTCTCGTTCTCGTAAATGCCCTGGAAGCTCGTGACCAATTTGGAAAGGAGCGTCGCGACGATGCTGGCGATGTGCACAAACGGACCCTCCTTGCCGAGCGGCAGCCCCGAGCCCAAGGTCGCCGTTAAGCCTATTACCTTTGGCATATCACGATCTTTATTGCCCCCGTCTCTGCTTTCGCGAGATCCCGACCACGCTCTTTTAAGGTATTTAAGAAAGTTGTAATCCAACTTCGACTCGCGCACGCACGCGCTCGATCTTAAAGTTAATTTTCTCAAGCTTTAACGGGCGGATCAAGTTACTCCAGGCGTGATTAGCTAACCTTGGCAATCAAGGTACGAAAGGTCAGGTATTCCTTCAACGCCACGCCGCGTAGAATGGTCTTCATTTCCGGAATGCCGGAACCTATACTTTGTGGTGCTACGATATGTACGAAGCCCGCGCTGAAGAGAATGAGACACACCGGCATGGACACCCAGGCCAGGTACTTGAAGGCCGGATGCGTCGAAAGGTCCTGATAGAGCCATATCCTGGCTGAAACGAGATCATCGTTAATGTGCTATATCAAACGCCTCGCGTTAACTTTCAATATTTTGGTAAAACTCCAGCTCCTTTAATTACATCGACACTAATATTCGCAATTACTACACTGATTGAAAAAATATCTTAATCCAAAAAAATATTACTTTACTCAAGAAAATTATTCATTAGGTGGCTCCCATAGCTTATTAACTTAAATTTAAAAATAATTAACAAATTAAAACATGCATTGCTTCAATTTGAGTATCTGTTAAATATCGAAGAATAGATCATTTCAAATAAGAAAAAATTGATTTTAATTCTATAAAATGTCTACCGAGATGTAATTTTCGCAGCGAAGAAAATTGGATCTTTCTCTTTTCTATGAGAATGTACGAATAAAATAATTTCTTCGATATTTTATAATATTGAGAAAAACGTCTAAATATTTTGCGGGGCTTTTAAGTGCCAACTTCGCGGATATTTTCAATTAACAATTAAACGTAATCATCCTTTGAAATTTCGCACTCGCGGGTGAAATTGATTCCCGCAAGCAAAGTAGACTGACCGTTATTGCACATGGAAATGCCACGGTCCATGGCGTAACTGATGAGTGCCATAATGATACCGAGGAGGGCGAGGAAGATCCAGTCCTCGCCTAACCGGGCGCCGGTGTGTTTCCAGGCGAAGGCCAACAGGGCCAGCAGCTTTCGGCACAGAGGACCCCGCCTGGACTTGCGCAGATCCTCGGCCCTCGTTTTGTCATACTTCCGCCTCGCTTTCTCGTGGTACTTGAGCTTGCGTGCCTCTTCCTTCGCGTACTCACCCAAGTCCTTCGTGTAGCGACCATACATCTGGAGGCAGCCGATTCCGCGTCATTTCGACCGCTCGGTTGCTAAATTAATCGATTAACGCGCCGACGAGAGACGACAGACTTGTTCAAATTCTAAGCCCACTTTCGGCCCATCCATATTCATGGAATTAGACGGGGATATTCAATTTCGCTTTGACATTGTAAAATATAAGAGAAAATTCTCTTCCTGATTACCGGTAAACTCTCAATGTTTTTGTTGTCTTGAGAGAACAAGCGAGATCGCTCGCGGGAAATTTTACAAGACATGTAATTTGTTTATGATGAAATTATATTGTGCCATCAAAAAATTTCATGCGGACGTTACGTGTAGAAAAATAATGCATTGTTGATAAGAAAAGCGACCGTGTGGCGTGCAATCAGCATACAATAAATCATCCAAATTAAAATAATTTCGTAATTTAACGCGCGTCGCATTCTGTTAATCAATCACATCGTATCTCTTCATTTTCATGTTTTACGTACACACCTATTTATCAATCAGCAATCTGACATTCGGCTTCGATAAACTCGTTTCCGGAGACAATTAAAATCGTCATTCGCAATTAGAAGTAGCCGATCGAGCTAAGTACTTTCTCACGGCGGGCAGAGCAATACTGGAAATGCAAAAGAGTGAACCTCCCGCGTTCTATGGATAATATTACGCTAAAACGATCGTTTTCTAAACTGGAAATCGCGTCCGGTATCGTACGGCGCGGATGTTATCTATTAAAACGAGTTTTTATCTAATCCAAAAAAGCGGTCTGTGAATCTCGCGCGATTAATACATTAGATAAAGTGATAAAAAATTTCTCGGCAGACAGAAAATCGCGGCGATACGACGGTCTGCGAAACGGCTCGCGACCGGTTAATATTACACCCATTCGAACGTCGTCGGATTTATTCGTTTGTTAATTCCGCGTAAACGTAACGAGTAACGCAAAAAGGAAAGGGTTAATGCAGACTAAAAATATGTCGTTGCATAAACGTTGCTTCGTCGACCGCACGTCACGACTGCCTATACGTTGATGTTATTGTCGTCTTCATGCAAGCGGCGACAGAGAACTATATCGCCGGCGGTCCCTAAGAAACAATTGTACGGAATTACGCGTAATGGTCGTAATGCCGGGAAAACTGTGCGCTCCCGACCTCGTCGCGTCGCGGGGAAACGGTGGGATTAGAATACGGGCGTGCACTTACAAGGTAGCTGTCGTTACAGACGAAGTATGCCCTATTCAAGACCAAGGCCGGCAGGGACAACCGGGCGAGGAGTCTTACGGATTGCATCGAGGTTTCGTCACTCGGGCTACTCGGGTGGCGAAAACTCGAATTCAAGCTTAAAGATGCGTCTCTCCCCGACATCTCCTCCATTTCGTAAATCACTGCACTGTATCGTACACCACTGGTCTACCCTACATCCTGAAGTTCCGCTGCGGCCACGCGCGGACGAGGCTGATGCTTTTCTCGCGTCTGTCCGTCATTCACTTCCAGAAAGCGCGAAATTATTTTATTTCGTCGGAGAATCACCGTCCGATACCGCCTCATTGTTTCCGAACCCAGAGATCGTTAGAAAGTCATTGAGATTTTGGAAACCTGAGATAAATCCTAAAATCCAGTAGCTCCGGTTAACATACAAGATTCTTATTCTGCGTTTCTTGCGCATCCTTACACAGCAACCACCTCGCGGATGATAAATCAATAATAATAATTAATAAGATTTCAGTCGAGATAACGGAAGCGAACTGGCAATATTCTACGTCACTTATTTTATGTTTATTTAATAACTTTCCGGGATCGACGAATTTAAAATACGTCACTCGAATTTTCTACAGATCCCTTCGTACACATAGAAATCTCTGCGTGATCTTTTCAACACCGACGAATTCTTAGATTCCCCATCGCTACACGAATCTTGAAATGTCTCCCGGGAAAATTTTTGTTATCAATACTGACCGGCTAGTGACGAATTTTTTAGTCCTCATCCTTTAATTTCGTCAATAATTTTGCTTACGTCTCGCGTGTAACAACTGTTTGCGTCTGTCACATTTTTATGTACGCCGAGTCCCTCAGCGACTTCAGCAGCTCGCGATAAACTTGCGGCAACGACTGCGCCAATTTTCACGGCTTCTTCGACGAATTTCTCATTTATTTTTAAATAACAATCCCGTGCATCTGTACGTGCGCGCACACGAGCACAAACTAAACGGCGACGTCTCGTGGACGTCTACTTCACACCCCAGTGGGAATATTTGTTGAAGTTTGGCAACAGTCAAAATCCTTATTTTTAGCATCGCCCAGCCAGTGTCGACGGGGCGAAATCCTATTGTTTATTGTCGAGCGAGCTGCGACGTTTCACCCGATGCCGTGTAAATTCACCTGACGCGCGCCCCGGTTTTCCAGACCCGCCATCTTTTACCGCGGACTTTCTTCGCGTCTGTACAACGTCACTTGTTTCGAAAAATTCTCGAATCTGGATTTTATCGCGTTGCACACGCACAGTCGTGGAATTTATTTGTTATACAGCGTGTCCCAAGATCTCGTTCGAAAATATACTTGGCACGAGACGCGGTAAGGTGTATTATTTATTCGCCACCACTTATGTACGTTTTCACTCGTTTGTAAACCTAGCGGTCTCGAAGTCACTTATACATTTGTAAAATCGACATTCGCGACGTCTCGGTTTATTTACCCGTCTGCTTCAAATTTATATATCGCTCTCTAATCGTCCGCTCAATAATCAGTCACGCGTTATCAATCGCTTTAGGCGGGCAGAAAATAATATTACAACGATTAAAAACATCGATAAGTATCTATGAGTGACGTTTCCTTATCGCGAATAATTTCGCGAATCATCTTCGAAGAAAAGTGTACGTGGCATTTATCTGACGAAAATTATCTCGTAAAGTGAGATCGGGCAACGAAATAATCGAGTACGTTTCGATCGCAACGTCAATGATCCCGATCGTAACCAGCGTGTGATGTCACGATTTTGGCAGCATCCCCGGGACTTGCGGGCGATATAAATATGCGTGTGACAGACGCAGCGCGCATCGCGCGATTTCGCCGGGCGGTCACATCGCGACTACCCTTGGGAAAATATACCCTAGAAAACCTTAAAGTTTTACTTTGGAAAAAATGAGAAATATGAAAAGTAAATTTGGGCACTTTAAACTTGTATTTAAGGTAAACTTCAAGCTTACTTGAAGAATTTACAAGAAGAACTTTAGGAATTGTGAAAAGAATGCGATATAATCTAAACTACCGCGTGCGATTTTCTTCTTACGAGAAAGCTTTATGCCGCGCGGCTCTTTAGCGGGAACTTGGACAGGCTTGGCTACCTAAAAATTACTTCAAGTGTCCAAAATTACCCTGACAATTCTTGTAAACTTTTAACCTCTTTAGGTAAACTCTCAGATTTGAAAGATTACTTTTAAAAACTTTAATTTCATTTTAAGTAAACTTTCCCAAGGGTGTCCCGTACGATTGTGCCTTGAATCGACGCGAGATATCTTCGAAGGTTCTATCGGTTCGATTTAATCATAGGACGGTATTCGTATGATCGGATCTTATATTTAACATCATTTTTAGATACTCCGTAGCCAATGAAATGTTCCATACAGCAGCTTTAGATGAATTTAAGACGGTGTTGAACATAGGATCCGATTGTGAATATATAATCCGGCCTCAGACATAGAAATCCTGGAAGTCGTATGCATTTCCAATTCTCGGCGTACGCAGAACCGTGCAAACGGAGGAAACGCCGGTGAAATATTCAATAGCGTCTTAATCGCGCAGGCAACAGTCGATTTAAATATGAAGAGGTCGCGTGAAAACGCGAGATTAGATAAGATCGGATTCTCTAGATAAGTTCGATTCTCCATTTCTAAGAGCTGACGGCTACGTACACATATCGTGACCACGTTTCGCTGAACGATCGGCTGCTAATCCAATTTTAGTAATTAGGCCTAGCCGATTGGCGATAACTGCACGCGAAACTAACTGCGCAAATTATTTGAATTGTCCATTCATCCTGAACGTTACAGCTATCCTAATCACTTCCCATGTGATACATTAATATTTATTAATTATATCGTTAATACGACTTATACTCGGGGAGAATTTTCTCTTAAAATTTACCCTGAAAATCTTGTAATCGTGGAACAACACGGCACTTTGACGATCTTTATAAGAATTTTTTTAAATTCCACTGTGCATTCTACTAGCAAAATGTATACCAAGTGTAATCACTAGTAAAACGTATGGTAAAATTTCAAGAAACTCTCACAAAATTCTTAGAAAGTCATGCAATCTTGGGACAACACGGCACTTTGAGGACCTTTATGAGAATTTTTTTAAATTCTACCGTACATTCTACTAGCAAAATGTATACCAAGTAAAATGTACGGTAAACTTTCAAGAAACCCTTCATAAAATTTTTCGACGTGCCGTGTTGTCCCACGATTACATGACTTTCCGGCTAAATTTTAAGAAAAAGTTCTCCCCGTGCCGACAGATTGCTGGCAGTACGAAAAAGTACCGACGCTATATAGTTGCGAAAGAGGGCTAAAGGCCTATGTCCACGATGCTAGAACTTGATCCAAGTTCTAGTTTCGAGAAACGTGTAGCCGATCAACTCGCAGCGATTCCATAAAAGCTGCAAGTTGATTGGCTATACATTTCTCAGAACTAGAACTTGGATCAAGTTCTAGCATCCTGGACACAGGCCTTAAGCCAGGCAGTTGTATGGATGCACCCGGAAATTGCACCATCACGAGAGCGCAGATTCAACCTGCGCTGTAATATGCGTATACATACGTATATGCGTATGAACATAGCGCATGTGCTTGCGGTGCGTCGTGGTAACACGAGGGTCTCTTCATGCTGGTCACGCGTGCTCGATAAGCATAACGAGTCCTTAAGAGCTCATTCGCGCGCATAAAAGCGTTGCTTAGAAAGGCGTCGCTGCAAAGACCGCGCGTACTCCTTTGAATTATCAAGCTCACC